TTCTGCCCCCGAGGATGCACTCTCCGCATCCTATCTAGGCTTCCAGCAATACACTCTATTACCAGTTCACAAGATCCATTTGCTTAAGAAATCATTCATTAACTTTTCTAAAATCGTTTTTATGACCCCACGAACTACTCAAGCTGCGGGCCCCATGACTGGGCAAGCCATGAGGTTTCATGACTAAACAAGCCAAGGTTTTCAAAGTATTTTTCCGGCTTCCGCTTCCTCAAGCCCCTTCAGTCTGAATCCTCCGCGATCACTGATGTAAGACAACACTTTAGGATCAATTCTCATTCCTAAAGCAATCCAAATCTCAATTATGCTCCAAGATTCTCAATTAGTGTGCCCTAATCCATTTTCATGTTTCAAATTATCATTCCAAGGGTTTTCAATCTCAAATCAAGGATTAAAGATGCTAATCCATTCATCTCAAGCCCCCAAATGAAGCTAATTTGGGTTCTCCCCGAAAACAGGGGTCAAAACAGCATTTTCAGGCCAAACAAGGTCAAACCCGTGTGCACCGGTCGGCCAGTGACAGAGTAGTGCAACACTACCGGTCGACCGGTAGTGTGCACACCGGTCGACCGGTCAGCCTACAATCCGGTCGACCGCATTGGTCGGCTGGTTTCCATGTGATTCGGTCGACCGCACAAGTCGACCGGTGGAATCAGCTGCGCGAGAGAAGCTCACAGAAATCTGTCCAAAACCTGCAAATCTAGTCCCAAATTGAGATATTTCAAAGGAAAACCACTAGATCTGGGTTCTAGGTCCTAAAAGAAGTCTAAAGAACCCAAGATCTCCAATTTCTACTCTAGTTTTACTCATAAACCATCAAAATCCGGTTTGAACCAAAAATAAGTTTTGAAATTCAAAAACTTGAGATTCAAGAGAGGTTCTTTCAGTAATCTTACCTCGAATCCTTCTCTTGACATTGAAAACTTCTTTAAATCTTTCCTTGGTTCAAGATCCGTTTGATTTGGGACAAAAATGAGAGAGAGAGAGTGAGAGAGAGCACGGGAGAGTGAGAGAGAGAATGAGGGAGAGAGATGCACGGGAAGGAAAAGGAAAGGGAGAAAAGAAAAGAAAATGAAAAGAAAAGAAAAGGAAAAAAAAAAAGAAAATGACATGTGTACAATGTTTTAAAACAACAATCCAGAAATGCGCCCCTACATACTTCTGGGTTAAAATAAATTACTGAGAATAATTTAAATACCTTGGAACTATTTAAACTCACACGTGTTAGAAACATTTATTAATTAATACTCAATTAATAATCCAGATTAGGCACACTAATAATCTCAATTACCTTAATTAACCTTAATTTATTCTTCAGGGTGTTACAGAAAGTAACAAATCCCTATCCCAATTGACGATCTCTATTAAACCCCACATCTTTAGTGAGCTGAAACAAGACCTTACAAATAAAGCTTCTAAGACCCGTCAATAATTATCTTCAAATTTATTCAGATAAGCTTCTCCTTTTTTTTTTTCTCTATGATTCTCTCTCTTGAATCAACTCACAATATCTCCTTGAAGAATCTGCACAATATCTTCATGTTATCTCCTTATTGAGCATGTTTAAATTTAAACTAGAACTAGATCTTCTTTTGAATTCAGATTATACACCACCTTATCCAAATCCAATTCAAATAATATATAGACCAATATCTTTATCTTCACGTTGACTCTATCATCACCTTTTCGGCATTTATATACTCTTAGGTAGCTCCATGTTAATGTCCATGAAACACATCATAATGCATATTAGAATTGCTGATGAGTAAAAGGAGTAAAGTTGTATAAAAAATGTAGAAATAAAATTTTTTAAAAAATAAAATTTAGTAGGGACAGGTGTGAAAAAATAAAATTTTAGTGGGGCAACCAGCTTAAATGAGAGGTTTGATCAATCCAATTCAAGTGGGTCAGCTCTTCTTCTTCTTCTTCTCTAGTTTTTGAGGTCTGCATATTGTCCCCTCTTTCCACCGCCATTGAAATACCCCACGGACCTACCCAATTTCTCTGCCGTTACAGACGGTAAACTTGGCCAGAAAATTTAGTTTTCAAACGACACTCGTTTCATCTTTATGAATAATAAAAATTTTAATTAATATAATAATGATTGAAGGTACCCCTTCTATTGCTAATTTTTTAACTTTTTGTCAGTTAAACTATAATACGTGCCCCTAACTTCTACCACCCAAACATTGAAAAATAACTTTTTTTCGTGACCGTCGAAATAGCAATCCAACGGCTATGTTTATTGTGCTAACTGGACAGGTATTTTTGAAGTGCCGGATAGGAGACCATTCTTATATTTATATATCGAGTTTTAATTTATCTATTATTATTAGAGTTTCATTATATATGTCTGTTTCATTATATATGTTTATCAATTACAAATCATATTATTTAGACTATCATCTTTAGATTCATATCTTTTGCACGTTCTTTTCATTACATGCACGATCTAAAGACTTAGAATGATAGTCTCAGACTTCAGTTTGCTTCTCATACATTCAGCTACTATAAATGTAAAAAGGACAATTCAAAGATATAAAAAATAAATAAATCTTTATTAATAGTCAAAATATCTCAAAAGTATTGTTATATTTATTTCTAAGGGCATAAACACTAACACTACCATTAAAACATGCACGTAGCCGGATTGACAATTAGAAGAACTTCTCTTCTCTTTTTCTCGGGTTACACGCATGTTACTAGCATATTACACGCCTACTAGATGTATGTTACACACCCGTCACTCATACATTATATGCCTACTATAGACACTACAACAGAGTAACCATTTAATAACTGTTAATTATAGCGTTTCTTAAAAAATGTCATGTTACATAATAGTGTTTTAAAAGAGTTATCATATATTTATATTTATGTATATATATTGTTGGGCGGTATTTCCGGAATCATTAAATGTGCAATAAATTCAAAGGCTCGTCGGAGCCTAAGCTATCCCGAGCCCAAGCTCTCCCGAGCCCAAGTTCTCCAGAGCCCAAATTTTTTGGAGCCCAAGCTCTCCCGAGCCCAAGTTCGCCGGAACCTAAATTTGCCGGAGCCTAAGCTCTCCTGAGCCCAAGCTCTCCCGAGCCCAAGTTTTCTGGAGCCCAAATTTGCCAGAGCCCAAGCTCTCCTGAGCCCAAGTTCTCCGGAGCCCAAATTTGCCGGAGCCTAAGCTCTCCCGAGCCCAAGCTCGCCGGAGCCGAAAGTTCAAAGGTCGCGTGATGTTATCAAGTGAAGTAATTGACGCTCATTAAAGACATTGAATGGTTGAAAGTTAATTCTCATTGATTATTTATTAGTTTTAACTCACAAAAAAGGTGAAGAGCCTTTTTGTAATTAAGAGAGAATAAACTCTCGAATTAATGGGAGAATTAAACTCCCTTAATCCTAATGTACTATAAATTCCCTCAGTTTGAGAGGGAAAGGGACACTCATTTTTTAATACAATTGCCTTGTGATTGTCTTCATTTTGTTTTTGTTATTCCTTCAGAGGTTCTTTGTGTTCTTCGAGTGTTCTTCCAATTTCCTTAGATAATTTGCTTATTCAATTCAAATTATTTGTCTAGGGACGTTGGATAAGTGTTGGACGAAATTTTGCTCCAACATTTTTGGCACTAGAAGGAGGGCCCTAGTCTGTTTAACATCCACGGGTTCTCACCGGCACTTAAAATTTTCTATCTCATTGCTCAACGTACCCATTCTGAGGGAACCCAAACATGGGGACTCAGCGCTAATCTTGAAAAGGCACCATGTGCTCCTCGTCCACCAACACGCACTGACAGGATTGAAGCACGAATGGACACATTGGCAGGGATGGTGAATCAGCTTATCACTACCTTTAACACGGTTCATCCAGCAAATAACCAACAAAGTGGGCCGGCGAATTCACGTAGTGCTAGGAGTGGGCATAGCCATCGTGGGAGCCAGCGTAATGAAGGTGAGGGTCAATCCAATAGGAATCAACCAAGGGACTTGCCCGAGCCACAGGAACCACGTCACGCACCTAGGCGTCGGAATGCTTTGTCATGGATTGGGAGTCATCATGATGCAACTGAAAGAACTAGGACATCGGTATTTGACAGGGTAGAAGATAACCGTAATAGCGAAGAAGTTGATAGCACCTCGACACCTGGGTCTGATGATTTCACCACTACTGATTTGCAAATCGACTCAACGTACAACGGAATGTACAAGCAATTGTACCTATGCCCTCAAACAACCGGGCAACTCAAAACATGAGTAGGAGGAGAGCCGAAATACCACGATCTTTCCGGAGCCAAGTAAATAGGGCGAATCAGAACTAGAACCGACATAATAATTAAGGAGGCGTAAGTCAATCCAACAGGAGCACCCGTGGGGAACAACTCGGGCAGCAACTCGAAATGATGCAAAGGCGAATGGATGACGTAGAAGCCAACAAGAATTTGTCAGATGGAGTAAGAGACTTGCTGGATGAAACAGAGCCGCCATTCACTGAGGACATCATGGCAGAGGAATTTCCTATTGATTTCAAGATGATTCCCATCAAATAGTTTGATGGGAAAGAGAATCCAACAGGACATATACATGGATATAGCACATGGATGCGAATTCGGGGAGCCACACAAGCTCAGATGTGCCAAGCCTTTTCTTTGACGCTTACTGGGCCGGTGCTTCAATGGTTCCAACAATTAGAGCTAAGGTCAATGAACTGAAACAACAATTTGTAGGACGATTTGTGATAGCAAAAACTCGCAGGAAAGATAAGCTTTATTTGTTCTCCCTTAAGCAAGGAGCTGATGAATCGTTAAAAGCCTACATTGAATGTTTCAACCAGGAAATGAATTATGTGGAAGGGTACACTGATAGTGATGCTGTGGCCGCAATTCGAGAAGGACTTTAAGAATGTGATATGCTGAAGTCAATTTGCAAAAAAAAAACCAAAAACCTTCGTCGATCTCGTGATCCGAGCTCAGAAGTTCATTAGCGCTGAATAATATATGCGTAATCAGAGAGGACAATCTCAAACAGATCAATCAAAAAATGATGGAAAGTGGAAGGTAGAAGAAGGATCTAAAGGAGGAGAAGGAAAAAAGCAAAAGTCAGAGCCACAACAGGACATGAACAAATCCAAGACTACCTTGACGCAAAAGTTCCAAGCTTATGCTCCACCAGATACAACAAGGGCCTACACACCCTTGAATACGATAGTGGCACATATTTTAATGCAGATTCAACATCAGAATTTACTGACTCCTCCAGCCCCTATGAAGGGAGATCCTAACAAGAGGGATAAAAGTAAATATTGTTACTTCCATAAGGACCATGGCCATGAAACCTCAAGTTGCTTTCAATTAAAAGGACAGATTGAGGCACTCATTCAACAAGGCCAGTTGCAGGAGTTTGTGGACAGAGTGATAGCAGAGAGAAGAATTGCACTCTCGACAACAATGAGAAAACAAACAGCGGTCGCACAGGGAATAAATACAATAGATGGGAATAATTCTACATTGAATGAGGTCAGGACAATTTTCAAAGGACCAGAAACCGGTGATTCCATTCGGGCTCGGAACCTGTATGCTCGAGAAGCTAAAGGTCTCGATTGTGTCCAATTTGTAAATATGACGAAACATGCCGCAAAATTTGCAAAGATGGAGAACATCACCATAACCTTCACAGAGGAGGAGGCAAGGAAGTTGCTTCATCCACATAACGATGCCATAGTTGTGTCTTTGCAAGTGGCAAATAGCTTAGTCCACCAGATTTTGATCGACAATGGGAGTTCGGCAAATATACTATTCAAGGATGCTTTAACCAAGATCAACCTAGGTGGAGCAAAGTTAACACCTGTGAACACCCCACTCCAAGGCTTTACTGGAGCATGCATCCATACTGAAGGAATGATAACACTCCCAGTTACCATGAGAGAAGGGGACACTAAGGTGACAAGAATGGTAAATTTTTTGGTTGTGGACCAACCATCTGCTTACAATGTCATCATAGGGCACCCGACTTTGAATGCCATGAGAGCAGTAACGTCAACATATCATCTGATGTTGAAATTTCCGACGGAAAATGGTGTTAGAGTAGTGCTTGGCAATCAACAAGAGGCTCGCATTTGCTATGTAAAAGCAACCAATGGGAAGGTTGAATTGAAAGGAAGGGAAGTCTAGAAAAGTATTAACACATATTTAAAATGTTAAGCACCTTAAGAAGTATTATCAATAGTTAAAAAGTTTGAAGTTTAGTGTGTGTTTGTACTTCAATGTGACGCCAAGTTTGTCAGGCGAAACATATTATTACTAAATAAGGTCGAAGTGTTTGCTAATTTCTTCTTTTAATATGACAAAGAAAATGGGGGGATAGAAGTGTATCAATTCAAAAAAAAAAAAAGAAAAAGAGCTTCAAAAACCCGATCCCAAGTGGGCACGGGAAAATAAAAAAGCCTCGGCTTGGAAAAATCCGACCCCAAGTGGGCACGGGAAAATCCAGAGAGCTTCGGCTCAGAAAAACCCGACCCCAAGTGGGCACAGAAAAATAAAAGAGCTTCGGCTCGGAAAAACTCGACCCCAAGTAGGCATGGGAAAATAAAAAAAGATCTTCGGCTAGGAAAAACTCGACCCCAGGTGAGCACGGGAAAATCCAAAAAGAGCTTCGGCTCGGAAAAACCCGACCCCAAGTGGGCACGGGAAAATAAAAAGAGCTTCGGCTTGGAAAAACCCGACCCTAAGTGGGCACGGGAAAATAAAAAAGCCTCGGCTTGGAAAAATCCGACCCCAAGTGGGCACGGGAAAATCCAGAGAGCTTCGGCTCAGAAAAACCCGACCCCAAGTGGGCACAGAAAAATAAAAGAGCTTCGGCTCGGAAAAACTCGACCCCAAGTAGGCATGGGAAAATAAAAAAAGATCTTCGGCTAGGAAAAACTCGACCCCAGGTGAGCACGGGAAAATCCAAAAAGAGCTTCGGCTTGGAAAAACCTGACCCCAAGTGGGCACGGGAAAATAAAAAAGCCTCGGCTTGGAAAAAACCAACCCCAAGTGGGTATGGGAAAATCCAGAGAGCTTCGGCTCGGAAAAACCCGACCCCAAGTGGGCACGGAAAAATAAAATAGCTTCGGCTCAGAAAAACTCGACCCCAAGTGGGCACGGGAAAATGAAAAAAGAGCTTCGGCTCAGAAAAACTCGACCCCAAGTGGGCACAGGAAAATAGAAAAAACAAGGGAACAACCCGACCCCAAGTGAGCACGGGAAAATCCAAAGAGGAAGAAACCTTAGCCTGAGAAAACCTAAGCCTAAGTTGGGCTTGGGAAAATCGCAAAGTCGAGGAAATATTACCACGAAAAAAGTCAATCCCAAATGGGCACGGGAAAATCGTAAGCCATGGGAGAAACTTGGTTAAAGGGAAAACCAGACCCCAAGTGGGCACGGGATAACTCTAAACCAAAGAATATATATATATATATATATATACATATATATATTAGCTAGTCTACATTGATAAACTGTAGCAATTGCAAAGAAAAATTAAAAAAAAAATTATTATTATGTTACAGGAAAGATAACAAAAGAACATGTTTCAATAAAAGGAAAAGTGCTAGCCAACCGGCCCAAGTACACAAGAGCAATCATGAAAAATGGAGTGCAGAGCAAAAAAAAAAAAAAAAAAAAGAAAGCTTTTATGTGCTGCTTGGTGGATCGATACTTGGAGGATCGCTGCTTGGTGATTTTTCCAAATCCTTCATAGGTTCAATCATCTCATCATCAGGGTTGAAGTCATTCGGTGTAGGTGCTGAAGGAGTCTAAACAATATGAGGAAGGTCAAATGAGAGATTAAGGTCAAGGTCTTTGTTATAGAAAATGATTGCCTTCTTGGCTTCTTCGTAGCCTTTCCAGAACTCGTCCTCAGCAAGCTCGACTTTATTAGCCTCGTACTTGGCATGGCAAAGCTCTAAATCTTTCTTCACTCGCTCGAGTTTCCTTAGAGACATATCAAGAGCAGCTTTAGTCTCCACAAGAGTCTTCCTATCATTTTCAGAGGAGGTCAAAAGAGCATTGTATTTAGCTTTCCAACCATCTAAGATGCTCACTGTCTGCGTAACTAATTTCTCAGATTGAAGCAATTTCTCTTGTGTCGCCTTTAAACTGTCCTGAGATTCCTTAAATTTTGGTGAAATTATTTTTGCCTCTTCAAACATTTCTTTTGTTCGAGAGTTGTACACAAGAAGATCTGCGAAGAGCTAAAAAAAAGGGGTAAACAAATTAGCTTAGGAAAGTCTAAACACAATTTGGGCTCGGAAAATCCCAACATTAATAAAGAAGGAGAGAGATAAAGCTAAGCCCAATTTGGGTTCAGAAAATTTCAATGAAGAAAAGGAGGGGGTTTACCTCAGTAATCCGGCGCTCGATTGAAGTAGCTAAGTTGATGGCTTCTCATTTTTTAGCTCCGTCAATATGTTCGCGAGGCACAAATTTCTCCATCTTTTTCAACATTGGAACATGACAGGGGCGGATGGACAAGCGGACCAACCCATCAGTTATAACATCAAGAGTGGAAGTATCTTTGGAAGTTTGGCCAGGTTCATGACTCGAAGACTTTTTTGCTGGTCTTGAAGAAGGAAGTGGATCATTTGGTGCACGAGAGCTAAGATTTAATGCAGTTGATAGAGAAGGGCCAGTAGGTGGAACGTCAAAGGAGGACTTTCGCTTCTTCATCCGTTCCTTGAAAATCTCAGGGTCGAAGGTTGATTGACTGGGAGGCCTCGTGGGCCTAAACGCTAAGCGGGATTCCAAGTCCTTGGAAAAATGCCTAGACACATGGTGCAGACATGAATGGGAGCCATCACCACGATGCTCAAAAGGAGGTCTGAAATCACGCTTACTAGCCATATCTGTTGAAAAAAAAGAGGTAACAAAAATCGGCAATAAAATATGTGTAACAGGCATAAAAAGAAGTCAGGTGGGAGTGTCGATAAAGTCACACCTATTTTTTTTAAAGATAGCAGGGTCAGCAAGATGACAAACGTCAGAAATAGGGTCATTCAAAAATAATTCCATGTCATTCAGAGAACAAGATGGATCAAGCAATGGACCGATACCACTCAAAGATTCTTCTAAGGTAGTTGTGTCAGACATACCATTAAATAACACATCTGGATCAAGAGTTTGCATTGTGGAAGGAGATAAAGTTCTTGTGTCACATGGCCAATGGGCATCTAACGTTTCTTTAGAAAGAAGATACTTTACGTTTCTGATTGCCTTGTCAGTTTTTTTTGTGGAGCTAATGTTGTCAAGCGCATCTTGTGAAAGGATGACCTTGTTAGGCTTAGGAGGAATCACATTTGGGTTGAGGTTCCAATTTCCAGAAACTATGAACCAAGAAGATCTCCAGTGTTTGTCGTTTTCAAGACAAACCAGAATGAGTTTCATGTTTTGTTTCGCTTGGAAGTAAAAAGAACCATTGTGCCCGGGTGATTTCTTTTTTACGTAGATGCCTCTAAATTCGTTGACAGTCAAATCTCCCAATCCAAGTTTCCGCCAAAGGACAAAACAAGCGATGGCATGACGTAGCGCATTCGGACAAAGTTGGCATAAACTCAAGTTAAAATATACCAAAAGATCATGGATAAATGGAGGAACTGGAAGCCGAAGGCCACATTTGAAAAAATCTTCGAAAAGCACGATCCCATCTGTCAGAGGGGATTTTAAAGTTTCATTTTGTGTCGGGAGGCGAAGTGAAATGTTAGAAGAAATGCAATAAGCGGTACGGATCCTTTCCAAGTCTTCTATCATAAGATGGCTATGTAAGTCTTCCAAGTCGAGCTCGGATTGATCGGGAATGGTCTTTGAAGACCCCTCGGCCGGTAAAGAGTCATCATCGGAATCTACACCAACTGGATTTTTGGGGTCGGAACCAAGCGAATTCTTGCGCTCGGACACAAGCGTTTTCTTAGGAGAGTCAATCTTCTTCCGCTTATTCTTGGCGTTGCCACCTTCATGAGCTTTGGCGATATCTCTAGCCTTGCCGAGTTTGAACTTCAAGGTTGTGCTTTTGACTTTTTGGCGTATATCTTCAACGCTGGTCTCGGGGATATACAGAGAATCACTAGAAGAAGATATCTCTAGTCTTGCCGAGTTTGAACTTCAAGGTTGTGCTTTTGACTTTTTGGCGTATATCTTCAACGCTGGTCTCGGGGATATACAGAGAATCACTAGAAGAAGAGGAGTTAGAAGAATTTCCATCATTTGAAGCCCGAAAAACTCGGTTAGCACGGAGTTTGAAGCGTTTGAGGGGCTGCCCGGTGTTCATTAAAGCAGCATTAGAGCCATCTGTCTTTGTCGCCGCTAAACCGTTAACGACATCATCATGGTGTTGGTTATTTTTCGCTTCCATTCGCTGGAGTTTATGATAAAAATCACACAAAGACGATTTTCCTTTGTTCCTTTTCTACAGCACTTTTCTTTCTTCTTCTGTGCCTTACGTTAATTGTGGTAGAAGCATATACAAGAGGATTGTGTTAGCATGGGAGGCCTTACTCAAAGGAATTAAAAGATCACGTAATGGGCAATGGTTGGAAAAAAAAAAGGCAACATAATAAGTGGATCCATTTACATTGCACCATCTTTGGAGAAAAAAAAAAAGGAAAGTGTACGAAATTTCTCATGCAGAGAGAAGAGGAAAGCAAAACGTTTTGGAAGCAAAAGAAAGTCAGCATTAATTACAGAGGTGCCAAGTTTTGTTTTTCATATATATTGAAATTCAATAAAGCTACCTTTAGTTTTTTCTTTCCATTAGCGTTGGAAGCAATTAAAGTAAATGGGGAATGCAAATCTAAGCATGTTGTTGAAACTAGCTGATTCCACTTCTGCTTTAGAGACGTAGAGGAAGCTTTTCAAAAAAAAAAAAAAAAAAAAGGGGGAAGCTTACCAATTATGAAGAAGACGCTGAAGATTGGAGCAGATTGGGAAAAATTCTTTTGGGAGATTATGCCATGTAAGTTTAAGCTATTCGAATTTATAAGGAAGTTGTTCAAAATTGTAAAAGTAATGGGAGATGATTTTCGGCAATAAATTTGCATATACGTTCAGAATATTCATGGATTCTGTAAATGTGAGCCTGTCGCAAACAAGGAAAGAAATTTTAGAAAATCTTCATCAAATCTTCGACATTCATGGTA